CCTGGATCCAGTCCTCATTGTTTCTGTGTTCTGATGTAATACAGAGACTGAGTTACCATCCTCTTGGATGTACAAAGGCACCTGGTGCATCCCTTAGATCCAGTCTTCAACCAGAAGGCCCTGATGCAAGGACCTGGACCCAAATGGTTGGCAGAGAGGCTGGGATCCTAGAGCATCATTGTCAACTGTGCAGCTCATGGAGGAAGCGAAGGGTGGGAATTCACAGGACAGTTAGTCTTATAGAACAATGGAGATTTCAGCAATTTCAGCAGAGGCCCGAAATAGAGGTGGGAGATATCTTTCAAGGAATTATAAGGTTACTCTTGTAGGAAGAAAGAATCTATTTGGCTTTTTAAGAAGTTCTTTTACTCCTCTACATTGAACTCAGGCCCTTGTGCTTGCCAGGGAAGCACTTATTCTACTGAGCCATCTTCCCAGTCCCTACTTTTTTTTTTTTTTTTTGGTGGAACCGGGGATTAAACCCAGGCCCTTGCGCTTGCCAGGGAAGCGTTTGTTCCACTGAGCCATCTCCCCGGCCCTGCTCTCCTTCCTGATCTAGGTGATGTTCCTCATTTGGAACCAGCTAACCATGGACTGAGACCTCTGGAACTATGAGCTGACATAAACCCCTCCTTCTTTATCCTGCACGATCAGATACTGTGTCTTGTGATGGATAACTGATGTTGTATTATTATCATTCTGTTCCTCAGATCGTGGGGTTTGGCATTTTATCTACAAAATGACTTCACTTATGGTGTTGGACAAGGAGGGTGTTATCTTCATTTTGTTTTATCTGAACGTAGATTCTTTCTATTAAAATATTATGAGGGTAGCCAGTATGATTCAATAGCATACTATTTGTCCCAGATCTACAGGTGGTTTTGGGCAACTAAAACCACCTAATTGGAACATTCATCCATTCATTCATTTAACCACTAATTATTGAATAAAGATGGGGCTTAAAAGAGAACTTAGGTCTTAAAACTGGGCATTGTTGAAATCTGTTTTAAATTCTACAAAGTCCAGGCTCTGCTCAAGAGGTTTTGAAAAAGAAAGACAGACATCATCACTGAAGGAAAGATGCAGTTGGAAAGAAAAGCACAGTTAAGCACAGTGCTCATCAATGCTGTTTTTCCCAAATGAACTTGTCCTAGCAAATGGGGAGAGTTAGGGCTGGAAACCCTCCACAGTGACACTCCTTGTTGCATGCGTAAGGGCTCCAGCTGGGCATCCACTGACCCCGAGTGTCAGAGCATACACGAAGGCCTAGAACTTGCTGTGGACCTTGAGGAATCTCTTCTTTAACCTTTCCATCAAGACCTACAAGGGTTTTTAAGCCCTGAGCTGGCCACTGACAATTTATTCTCCTTCCAAACAGCCCCCTACGCGCTGCTCAGCTGGAGTCTGACAGCTTGTTCTGTTCATGGGATCTGTGGCTGTGACAGAAAGAGCAGCTCCACAAGGTTCTGATCCTGTACTGGGGAAGACCTGCTACAAGAAGATTCAGCATAATGTGCCTTCCCCTCATTCTTTTCTTTTGTTAGGAGAGGGGTTCTAGTAACCCCAAACTTCTCATTGTGAGAGATTCTGCATATGATTCACCACCTTAACAAATTTTTGAAATCCAGCACACCAATGACTGAGTAAAAATAATATGATGATACTTTATCCAAAAGCCTAGCTTTACCAGTTTTAAGTGTATTAACTGCATTCCTAATGTCATGCAGCTAACTCCACTATTTCCATAACTCTTTTCATCTTATAGACTTGGAATTCTTTACCCATTAACCAATAATCCCCCCTTTGTTCTTTCCTTCCAACATTACAGATAGTATTTAAAACACCGTATCAGGTCAAACTATGCCTAAGGTGTGGTGGAGCAGGGTTTTGGAGAGATGCAAAGGTTGCTCTGGTAGGATGAACCATCATGACAGTGGCCGTTGCTCACCTCACAGACAGACAGTGCCAGCACTGACTTCAGAGGAGCACAAGGACAAGGATGAAACATCCCTTGGGGCAACAGTGGAAAAGTCAGAAGGAAAGAGGGAGCTGCCCTGCATGGAGTGGAGATTCCATCTGGAGCTTGTTAATATGGGTTGAGGTTTGTTTTGTTCTTTTGCATCTTTGTTAGAAGTGATATGGGGGGGGGCGGGGAGATAGCTCAGTAGAATAAGCACTTGCCTGGCAAGCACAAGGGCCTGAGTTCAATCCCTGGTTCTGCAAAAAAAAACCCCAAATATAATAATAAATAAATAAATAAAAAAAGAAAAGAAGTGCTATGAGGGGTGGGGCATTGCAAGCTGCTTGTGTATAGTCAGCCTTCTGAGGTGGGAAACAGGGGTGCCCCCACCGCCACCTCTGTGGTGGGTAGCTGTGTATTAAGGGCAGCAGACTTGGAGGAAAAGCAAAGGGCCAGGCCTGGGAAGCCCCACGCTCTGCCTCTGTCCTGAGTTGCCTTTCTGTGTGAATCTGAGCAAGTGGCCTGGCCTCCAGGGGCCTTCCTATGTCATAAGTAGGGGAGCTCAATGCACGGCCCCCACTGATGAAATGGAAATGGATGGGTCTCTGTAAGGAGACCTGTGCTATACTTCTTCTTCTTCTTCTTCTTCTTCTTCTTCTTCTTCTTCTTCTTCTTCTTCTTCTTCTTCTTCTTCTTCTTCTTCTTCAGAAAGAAATGTCCTTGTGAAAAGATGAATGTCCTCTGCATGGTTCTTCTCTGTAGACACATTAACCAACTGTGCCACTGAACAGGAGAGCAAATTTGCTTCCTGAATGTGGGGTGGGAGGCTCTGCTGTCATGCACTGTGTGGTGAGGGGCTGTTGTTCTGATAGTTCTCAGACACTGGCTCAGAGACCACCAGCCAGGGAAGAGAGGAATGAGCCAGGCAGTACAGGGACACTCTTCACCTCCCAATCCCACCGCCATCTGCACATCAAAGCAGCTGCTCAGCAAAATTCGAACAGTTTGTTCCCTTCCTGCTAAACCTTCAAAAGGCAGGAAACCAGCTTCTCAATTAGGTCTTGCAGAGCCTTCAGATACCACATTTGTGGTTTCCAAAGATCTTCTCTCAGTGAGCAGCTTGTGTTGTAGTGTTACATAGATTTCAAGTCAGTAATATTCCTGTGTACTTGTTCTGTGTCAGTGTTAGCTGAGGACAGCATGCCCCTGGATGCAGTGGGAGAGGAAATAAGCCCTACACCCAGAATCCTGCAGTCTAAGGCAAAAACCAAGTGGCCTGGTGAACACGGGAACACAGTCAGAAAAGAATAGATGGGCTTCTTTTCAGGGTTGAAGACGCTTAACAGTACCAGGGACACTGTGTTTGTCAGGCTACACTGAGAAATGTGTCTTCCACCATCCTTCCTTTTTTTTACCCTCCTCCCTGAAGCCACAGATCTTTCTCATCTGGATTTATACTGGTGTCACCCTGACCCCACAACTCGTGCCCCTCTCTTCTCTAGTTCATGGGACACCTCCCATGGATTTCAGATCATCTTCAGGGGCAACATCTGTACAAAAGAGAAAGCACCTTAACATGAATAGACTGAATACCAGAAATGAATCTCCTTACATGAGCCAGATGATGTCATAATGGGGATGATGCTTCCATTATGATGTCATGGTGACCTCATAATGGAGAACTCTGAGGTCATAATGCAGAATGGTGAAATCATAGGCAGAACTCAGGAGGGTGATGTCATAACGGGGCATGGTGCTTCAATTATGATGTCATGGAGACCTCATAATGGGGAACTCTGAGGTCATAATGAGGAATGCTGATGTCACAGGTGGAACTCAGGAGCGTGATGTCATGGTGGGGGCGTGGTGCTTCCCTTATGATGTCATGGTGATCTCACCGAGCAGTCCTGTGCTGCAGATTTGCAAAGAGCTGTACATGAAGCTCAAGGAAGAACATCCCTGAGTGTCTTTTATCCTTCTTTGAAAGCAGTGCTGCTGATCTATGGAAGCACAAACAACAAAACTAGATTCTATCCAATGTGTTACTCGGCAAACGTTTTTGGATACTTCTTCTGTTCCAGGCACTGTGTGGAAACTGTCTTGCGTAAGACAAATACCTGAGCTTAGAAACTGCCTGAGGAATAGGTGATTATGAGAGATAATGAGAAACAGTTAGATCTGCAGGGCAGTGTTCATAGGCAGGTTGAGAAGATTGAACAAAAAGACACTTAAAATAGTCATGTATCTCAAGCCCAGGAGGACAGCAGGGAAGGGCCTAAATTTAGATCCTCAGTATAGATTTTCTTGGATACTATCAAGAATCTTGTTTGCATTTCTCTGGGACCCAGGATGTAGGAAGAAATTGGGCCTTTATAAAGAAAGGTACCTAACAATACGCGTGGTGTGAGCACCTCCCACTGACCCAGAGCCTCTGCTGCAGATGGCACCATGGCAAGTTTGCCCAGATGGCCCTGTCCCCCTCCCAGCCACTTTTCAAATCCTAAGCTATTTGATGGCCGCTGGTACAAAGGAAGATCAACCCTTGTGTCACTTCCCATCCATGGTGAGAGAAACTCCAACTCTCACCAGAGAACATACTGCATACATGGCCCAAATTCCTACAGTCCTGGGTGCTTTGGTGCACCATTTTCTCATACTCCCAGATAGGACTGACTTCACTTATTCTTTAGCCTGAGATCCTTTGGGTCTCTTAGTCCCTTGGTCTCCTACTCCTTTACTCCAAATATGTCCAGCGTGAAAATGACAATAGAATGAAGAAAGATCACTCCTCAGATGTGCTATGATCTTGTTGTCTGGATGTTGACCACATAGGTCTCAAAGAATATCAGCTAATAGCGGGAGAGTCCCCTTCCCACTGCCACGTGATGGGACAATCTAGGCTAGCTCTGAGGGTTGCTGGGTCATCCAGAGGGGCAACCAATCACCAGGGTGCAGCGAACTTCCAGGCTCCTCTGTGGCCGCCTCACCTGCCAGCATGGGGGAAGGGCCAGAGGGCAAGGGGAAGCCAGACACTGCCTGCCTGGCTCCATCCTACCTGCTTCTCTCTCCAAGGCCTTCTCAGAGGGGCCAGGGGTCTCACGGAAGGGCCGATGGCTGAAGAGGTCATCACACAGAAGGCTGCGGCACAGCTTGGCCAAGAAGCGGAGGACGTAGCCCACGCTGTTCACCACGGGCAGGCTCCGCAGGTGCTGCTTCCCATCGAAGGACGCAGAGACTAGAGGACCGGAAACAGCGATTCAGCTGGGGGCCGAGAGTGCTGCCAGTAAGTCAGCACCAACGAGCGGGTTTCGGCTGCCCAGTCAGCAGTGTTTGGGTTTTACCTGTTACCTCATGCCCCATTTGTGTTACGGGGCCCCATGTGAGATGCCACATTGTATTAGATGTCATGTCCCCTTGTTCCTTTGGTCTCTGACAGTTTCTCAGCCTTTCCTAATCTTTCATTATCTTGACCACTATGAAGAACTCTGTTCAGAAATTATGTAAAATGCCCCTCAGCTTGGTTTGTCTACTGTTTTTCTCCCAGTTAGACTGGGGTTATGAGGGTTTGGGGAGCCAACAGGGGTGAAGAGCCTTTTGCACCAAAGGTATCAAGGAAACATGATATTCACATGATATGACCGGAGGTGCTAACCTGTCACCTGGCCCAGGTGGGGCACTCCATTTTCCTCTGCCGGGATCCTTATTCCAGTGGGCTAAACCTATGGCACATGCGCCACAGTAGACTGTATGTGTTATTGAAACACCTATAAGGTTCACCACCACTGCTCCATTCTGTTCCTTGGGAACAAGTCAAGATGTCCAACTCAGCTTGGAAGCTCATGTCTGCAATTCCAGCTCTTGGGAGGCTGAGGCAGGAGGATCACTGCCAGGAAGGTCAGCCTGGGCTACATAGTGCATGCAAGGCCAGCATGAACTACATATAAAAACACTACAAGTAAGTAAGTAAGTAAATAAATAAGTTTGCCCACATTTAAGCAGGAGGCAGAATTGCACATGTCACCTAGAATTCTTCTGTAGGGAAACATTGTCCCAGGACCTCTCCCACAAGTATTTATTTGGGCATTTATTAATTTCAGTACAGTCTCAATATACGTATTGTGCGCTGTGGGCTATACGTATGATCCGTGCTGTGGGTGACACCTTGCAAGCTCTCCAAGACGATTTCTGTGCCCCTAAGACCTACCCTTTCTTCTATTTAGCCCCTCGTTGGTTTTAGGACCTCAGTAGGGCCCTGGGTAATCGAGTACTCTCCTTGCTCCGAGCTCTACAACCAGCCATTTCTCCAGTGGTCCTGCTGATCCTCCAGGTGCAAAGCCACCTCTTGCTTAGGGACCTCAAGGTGGTGGCTGAAGGGGTCAGCTCAGGTCTAGGCCATTCTCTGAAGTGCCGAGAGAGGGTGCCACCCTGCCCTTCCCGAGAGTTCCTGCAGCCAAGGGAAACTTGGCGAGAGGCTTTGTTCACTTTGGCCCTGCTCTTCCCCAGAGCCAAGACCCTCAGGTCACAACAAGGCCTGGCCAGGAAAGGAGCAGCAGAGTCAGCTTATACAGCCCCATCACGTAGGGCTGCTTGGGGTGGGTGCGGAGTGTGGAGGAGCCTTCTCAGCAGCAGGTCTGTGCCAGGAGCGCTTCAGGGCAGCAAGGTTTTTGGCCTCAGAGGGTTGCTTAGGAAGCAGAACCTGGCTTCTAAACAGAAAACAGAAGAGGAACAGCCAAACAGCTCTCAAAGGAGCTGACCACAAGGCTCTCCTCCTGCTCCTTTGGCACAGTACTTCCTCCTGTTCTGCTCATGTCTGCTGAAATCTCTTAAAAATCACACTGGGTCAGAGACTCACACTTCAGCCTTGCCAAGGTCTGTTCTGATCAACCTCCACCATTCAGACGCTATTCCTACAGGGTCAGCTCCAAAAGCTCAGCTGGCTACATCAGAGCCGGGAGGTGGTGAGCAGTGCGCTCCCACAGCCAGCTATAGGGCTGAGGTTAGACAAGTGCCCCTGCTTGGTTACGCAGAGTGCAGCTGCCTCAGAAGCCCTGTTCCCCTGACCCTTTCCTAGCTGGCCAGTAGGGCCACCTACACTGCCCTGTTGCCAGGAATCTTCTCCCTTTCCTTGGGGCTGTCCATGACACTGGGCCAGAGGAGACATGAGGCATTGCTCTGGGATGTGAGACATCTTTTCAAGGGCCTGGTGCTTCAGGGTTGCAGGGCAGGTAGTGACCCATTGTGGGGTCCTGAGGGAAGACTGGCAAACATCTGGAGGGGATGGGCACATGTACTACACCCTCACATGGTGGGGACACAATGGCCCCTTCTGGAAGCTGTTGAGTTGAGGCAGAAGCTGGAGGAGAACTATGACAATGACAGAAGGGATTGCTCTGATCTGGAAGGATCTTTCTGAGGCCTCTTTGAGATGGGGTTGAAATCATGAGGGTTCCTGCTGTCCTTCATGATGCTAAGTGCTGTGGGAAAGGGATGGAGTAAAGCAGACTGAGATGGACAAAGGCTGATACATTAGACAAGGGGTCAAAACAGTGCTCTGTGTAAGGTGGCACAGAGTAGGAACCTAAAGGACGCCCAGGAGCAAGTCCCATGGTGAGCCGGGCAGGGGCACTCCAGAAGAAGAGAACAGCAAGTCCAAAGGCCCTGAGGACCCGAAGCAGGAGCTTGACTGAGGGATACAGGGAGGATGAGAAAACCACCAGGGCTGGGCAAGGGTAGGGCATGAGTGAAACGACCAGAGACTGCAGAGGCACCCAGGGCCAACTCACAGAGGCTTACGGCCCTTGTAAGGATTTGGGCTCATACTTGGAGTGACATGGGAGCCTTCAGAATGTTCAGGGCAGAGGAGGGGCATGATCCAACTTAGACCTTTTAAAAGCAGCACAATTTTTCATAGCTAAATTTTGGAAACAACTCAAATGCCCATCAATGAGACATGGAAAAAAAAAAGCTGTGCTATTTTTATACAATGGAGTTTACTCAGCTACAAAAAAAGATAAACTTGAGGCTTTTATAGGTAAATAGATGCAGCTAAAGGCCACACTCATAAGTGAAATAAATCAGACCTGCATGTATAAATAGCATATTGTCTCCCTACTATAAGAACCTGAAAGAATAAATAAAATCTAAAACGTACAACAGATACTGTGAAAGGGAAAGAAACTGTTCAAAGGGAAGAAACAACTGAGATGAGGAAAAAGAGAAAATAAAAAAAAGGAAGGAGAATATATATATATATCTTGGGTAATTGCCCTGTTGGTTTTTATTGTTTTTTTGTTTTGTTTTGTTTTGTTTTTTTGTGGAACCGGGGATTGAACTCAGGCCCTTGCACTTTCCAGGCAAGTGCTTATTCTACTGAACCATCTCCCCGGCCCCTTTATTGATCTATTGAAAGGAACAGTAAATACTTAAATTTCTTTCTTCTTTTAAAAATTTTGACCAATTTTAAAATCAATTTTGCATGCTTATATTTGGTAATCTGAACAACTAATTTGAAGACTACAATATGTAATACAACAACTATTGTTGAATTCCTTTTCTTTTGTTTAGTGAGATTCTGTATTGTTTCTAATTTATTTTTACTGCTTTCTATTCTCTAAAAAAATTATAGTGATTATTGTGGGGTGGAAGACAGATTCTGGATGCGCTTTGAAGGTGGAGTATAAGGGGGGAAAAGAGGCTTGTACCCTCATCCCCTTGTGCCCTCCTTGCTTTTGCCATCTGCTGCTGCCATGAATTGTTGCCCTGTGCCAGGCCACCCTACCTTGGAGCCAGCTGATTGTGGACTGAAACCTCTACCAACTGTGAGCTCAATAAATCTTCCTTTCCTTAATTTGGGGTGTTGGGTATTTTGTCTCAGAAATGAGAGAAAAGTAATGAAGACACAGAGCAACAGGAGTTACTGCGGAGTTGGCAGTAGGGGGTGGGAGACAGAGGAGTCAAGAGCAAGGATTCAAATTTCCACTCTTTTTGTCTAGTGTGGAGGACCCTGGAGCCCAGCAGGGAAGCCTTGGCCACAGCCTGTACACAGGCCTGAGGTCCTCTTTAGGGGTTCTTCACAGACTTCCTCGTGACCCCAACCCAGGCCTTACCTGACACCAGCTCGCCACTGTGGCCCTGCTTCACCAGGGCGAAGACGCGCTTCTGCTGGTGGGCGCAGTCAATGCATGCTTGCACGGCCTGCTGGAGGACAGTGGCTGGCCGCTCGGGCCCCAGGCGCTCGGGGAGCTGCTGCACCTTCTGCCTCTCCAGGTAGGGCCCCGCGTTGGCACGTTTGTTAATATACAGACAGACTGTGGGGACAGAGACCACAATGCCTGCACATTGGACCTACATTTGCCAGCTGGCTGCTCCACCACCCAAGGCTACCTCCCTTGGCCTTGATCTTGGTCTTGGGAGATGTGGAAAGGACAGATTCTTCTTCCTTTTTTTTTTTTTTTTTTTTTTTTTTTTTTTTTTTGTGCAGGGTCTCACTATGCAGCTCAGACTCATAGTGATCCTCCTGTTTTCAGCCTCCCCAGTTCTGGGATTACATGTGTGCTCCACCACTCCCACACTCAGTCACCAGCTCAGCATGCCCAGGGTCGGGGCCAGCACGACATGAAGTACTGGGATCGAACCCGGGTCCTTGAGCTTGCCAGGCAGGCATTTAGACTGCTGAGGTATCTTACCGGCCCAAAGGCAGCTATTTCTTTGTCAAGTTTCTTATTCTTTTTTATTGCTTCATAGATACAATCAAAATCTCTTTTCTAAGCTTCTCCTTCATGTGCACTAAAATTATTTTATTGGAAAGATATTTTCCTGTCTTATTTTTATTTTATTTTATGTTTTACACATTAAGTACAGTGTCTCACTGTAGAGATTGGACTCATAGTGATCCTCCTGTTTTCAGCCTCCCAAGCACTGGGATTACAGGTGCATCCCAGGGTTGGGGCCAGCACAGCACACAGTGATCAAACCGGGGTCCTTACATCTGCCTAAGCAGGTGCTTTAATCCACTGAGCTATTTGGCTGGCCCTCCTGTTTTATAATTTTTGGCTATTTTATTGATACACTTTTGATACACACAATGACCACATTCATCAAAGGAAATGTGTACCTGTGCATAGTATATATTGATTCCTCTTTATTTCCCCATTCCTGTCCCCTCTTCAACCCTTCTTCCCCTCCTTATATATAAAGCTTTGTTTCTATTTTTCCTTCTATTCTCATTTTTCCTTTGCTCCTCCTTCCTTCTCCTATCTCCCCCCTCCCTTGTTCCCCTTCCCATTTGAACATTTTCTTCATAGTTCCCAATACTTTCATTCATTTTGGTCCTTATGCTATGGATAAAAATTGACACAATGCTGCTCACTTCAGAGATTATACATTCAATAAGGTTCCAAATAAGTGCTATTTATAATCTCAGAGAAATGAAGTACTCAATCCATTTAGATGAGCTTAATCTTTCTGGTCTAACCCCATAGCAACAAGCTGAACTCAAAATGCATTGAAAACCAAGTTTCAAACAATCCGACTGCAAGACAAGCAAATTCATGAAACTCTAATCATCCTATCTGTTGTCCAGCCACCACAGTACATCCTTCCTTTTAGCTCTTTCAGTGGCAGCTCTTGAGCTCACAAGGTCATCAAGATGGGAGGTCACCTCACCTACCTCTAGACCATTGAAGCCATGGGGTTTGTTCTGCTGACCTACCTGTGAGCGCCTGGGGAGCCACCACCCTGGGCACAGTGGCTGCATCCTGAGGGATGGAGCTGAGGTCAGGCTCTGGGGTGCTCCGTGGGGGTGAGAGGGCTAAAGGAGTCATGAGAATCCGAGACTTGAGCTGCAAGAACAAGGCCATTTGAGCAATGACAATCTAGAAATGCTCCCAATGCCATCCCAGAATCTTTGAGCTTTAATTAACCATGGCCATTCTATCATGCTTCCACACCTTTCTATTGGAAGATGAGCTTGGAATTCAAGTTCACATTTAAGGTTCATATTCGGATTTGCACTCAGAGGTCAGCTCTGCACCACTCTGGAAGTGATTGTGCCAGGAACTGGGCAGAGGTGTGGCTGCTTAAAGCCCAGGAACCCTCTGACTTCAGGCTGCAGCAGGGCAGGAGAGGCAATGAGACCACCTGAGAACTGACCCTGAAGCCCTCCTCACTCTGCTGTGCTCTCTGCTCACAAAGACCACTGACTGGGTCCTGCTGGGAAAGAGGGCAGGACCATTCCTCCTGGGCTGACACCCTGCTCAGTGTTGATTTCCTGCAGCAGACTATCAAAGCCAGCCCACATGTGGACAGACATGTGAGAGGTGGCCACCCTGAAGAGTGCATTGAAACCCCAAATGAGGGCCTGAAATCTGCTTTTACGGAATGGGTGGGAGTGGCAAGTTGATGGTATCAGCATCCAAAACATCTAGAAGCCACTCTGAATCAGCTTTGCACAGAGACGAGCTTATAGTCTTAGCTCTCTACCCCCAAATAATGAACAAATCAGTCACTTCCTTTCTTCACCACTCATCTACATCTAGACCTCATGTCAGACAAACTAAATCAGGCATGGGGGTGGGACTCAAGAATCAGGAATTTTTAAAGACACTCAAACTCTAATACATAATTAAGGTTGAGGTCCACTGTTTGACATTGCAGTTTTCAGCTCCTGCAAGCAGCCTTTCAGAACCCTGGGGGTGGAGCCTGACTTCGCACATGCTAATGATTTGCCAGGTAATTCTAACAGCGCTGGCCTCTGGGCTGTATTATAAGCAGCAAGTTGCATACTCTGCTAATATATCTGCAGTCCCCATCCATATCTTCATCTTCCTCATATTTTTAGGGTAAACTATAGTACTTGTCATAAAGAAGTAGTATTTCCACTTCTAGTTATCTCATCATTTCATATCCATTCATTTATTCATTCAACAAACATGTATTTTGAACCTGTTTCACATCAGACACTTTTCTAGCTGCCGGGGATACAGCAGGAAACAAAATGTTCAAAGAAGAGATTTTTATCTTTGTTCTCCTAGAACTGGTACCCTACTGAAGGAAGGTAGACAATTAACCGTGTAAGTTCGTGTTGGTTGTAGGATGCTAGAAGTCAGGAAGGGCTGATGATGAAAAAAAAGAAGGAAGCAGAACAATGAAGCACAGTTGAGGAGATGTACTTGGGATTGAAATATTTATGGCTGAAATTCGAGTGACTGGGGCAGCTTGGGGTGACACGATGCAAGGATTTGAAGAAGCAAGCCAGGAAGGTATCTGGGTGAAGAATATTCAGGCGACAAAAGCATCAAGCACTCAGTTCCTGAAGCAAGGAGATGCCTGAGAGTTTGTTCAGCTAGTAGGAGGCCCCAAAAGATTGGGCAAGGAGTCAACTGAGATCAAGCAAGGTTTTGCAGGACACGGTAGCCTTAGCCTGTTCTCTAAACACCTTTGAGCAATGACACAATCGTATCTAAACTAACATTCGAACAATCTTCTTGACTGAAGAAAAGGCTAAAAATGGAGGGGGAGCTAATCTGGAGCAGAAAAGAGTGGAAGATGCAATTTATGAGAGAGAGACAGACAGACAGACAGACAGACAGACAGACAGACAGAGACAGACAGACAGAGACAGACAGAGAGAGGCAGAGACAGAGACAGGCTGAGGCAAAGGCAGAGACAGAGAATATAAGGGTTTGGGCCAGCAAGGACTAAAGCATACTGAAGGTAGAGAAGATAAAATTGAAAAAACGAGATTAGGGTTAGTTTGGAACTAAGATGCTAGACATCAAGTGGAGATGTTAAGTAGGTCCTTGCATATAGTAGAGTATGGGGACAGGGAGTCCAAACCAAGCTATAATTTGGGAATCATAAATATATACTGCTGATATTTGAGACCAGGGCAATGGATGACATTGTTAGAGATGTGGTGTAGATTGAGAAGAGGATACAAATATTGACCTCTGGTTGGAGAAATAAGGAAGAACCAGCAAACAAAACCAGGAAAGAGCATCCAGTGGGATAGAAAGAAAGCTTGGAGAGTGTGGTGTTCTAGAAGTCAAATGGAATAGGCATTGGAGGGTTAACCACATCAGATGTTCTGCTGGATGAGGAGACCAAAGTGACCATAAGATTAGCGATTTATAACTCAAGTTTGTGGTGTAATGTGTCACATCAAAGTAAGATGATATCTTACTTATTACTCTCATGGATCTGACATTCTCATGGGGACACAAACAGTAAGCTAGCACATGATACAGGATGCTGAAGGTGGTAAGAGCCAATGATGAGGTAAAAGGAATGGGCATGGAAAAGTGCAATGGAAGGGCTGTGCTTTGGATCCTCCTGCCTCAGCCTCCCACATTCTGGGATGGCAGGTGTGTACCACCACAACCAGCCAGATATTGCTAAATGATCACAGTGAGATTACACAGAAGGGCAATACATCAGTCCCTGCCAACTGAAGTTGCCAACTAGGGGGCTGGGAATATGGGGTCAGCTTGTCTTTCTTTTCCACTTAAAGATGTATAACATGGGCCCAAAGAATTTCATGCTGTTGCTGTGTCTCAGAGGGACCTTCCCCAAGACATTTGGCAGAGAACCCCTGGGAAGAACTGGGAGGAGATTTGTTTGCAGTCTCTGCATGTAGCCGGGGGACACTAAAGAGAAACAGATTGGTTGACATAAAATTCAAGTTCTTGTCTAGGAATACTGGAGTTTGGAAGTGTCAGAAGTACTAGCTGAATAGTGGCAGACAGACTGGCAGCAAGAGAACTGTAAGCAGGGAAGAGGATGGAGTTGGGGAAGGGTGAAGACATTCGGAGGCTGCCTGCGCATCAGCAGAGGACAAACCAACAGAACAAAATTTTAAAATAAGATTGGGAAGCAGTGAGACACACAGTGAACTGTCACTTGGGCTCAAAATCTGTCCTAGCCACTCACTAATGTCCTGAGGCTTGGTACTGCAGCCCTCAAAACCTACCTTTCCTGCACATTGTTAGGTGAGAAGAACAAAACACAATGTCTAACATGATGCCAAGTGAAAATCCAAGATTTTCAAAATGGTCAGGGGTGTTAGTACTGTTATTATTATTATTACTATTTCTATTAGAAATTCCAGAAATAGAAGTAAGTCTCCAGTTTCTTGCAGCCCTGGTAAATGGGGACATTGAGACCCACTTACATGTCCCTTGAGATCACAACTTCACAAATCTCTACAAACCCAACCTCCTGCTTCACACCTGGCAGATTATTCCACTCTGGGGAACATGCTCCCCAAACAGAAGATGGTTCCTAAGTGCTGTGAATGCAGGAACTAGCCTTTCCAACTTGCAATACTTAATTCATATCTAAAAAGTAAAGAAAAAATGTATTATTTGATCAATCAGATAATCATTTATTCGACCAGTGGGTATGGAGCATCTAGTGTGAAGCAGGAGCTGTTCTAGGTGCTGAGGTCTGTGTTGTGAGTGAGGAAGACAATGTGATCTTTCTCCATGAGCTCATATGGTAGGAGGAGAAGGAGGAGACAAAGAACAAACACACAGTTAGGTCAGGTTGTGAGAAGTACCATGCTGAGAAGTTAAATATGATGGTGTGATAAAAGGGGACCAGGTTCCAGGATAAGGCAATAATAGGGTGACATTTAGGTCAGGATCTGATGGGTGAGAGGTGGGTTTCAATGGCTGAAGAACAATTTCCAGGCAAATGGTGTGGCTCATGTAAACCCTTGAAAGCTTAGCTTCTGCACAGGACTGAGAATTCTGGGTCACATGGTGGAACTGCTGGCGAGAGGCACAATGTTGTAAGCTGAAGTCAGCTAGGGAGTCAGGGTCAGATCATAAGGGCTCTGGCCTCCTAAAATGACACATGTTCAAATTCTAGCCTCCAGCATCTGTGAATGTTGACAAATAGGATCTTGGCACATGGAATGAAACTACTATGAGGCACACTGGATTAAAGAGGCTTGAATCCTGTCCCTGGTGTTCCTACAAGACATGAAAACTTGACACTAAGCCACAGAAGAACACATGATGGCCATGGAGACGGAGATCTATGGCATTATCCATGCTATACATAGTGAAGGAGCATGAACAATGGTCGGCAAACACCAGAAGCTAGGAAGAGGCAAGGAATGGCCTCCAACCTGGAGCCCCAGAGAGAGAGTGTGGCCCTACTGACACCCGATTTCAGACTTCACTCTCCATCCACAACTGTTTGAAGTAGACTGTAGCAGCCCTAGTAAACCCAGTCAGGACAAAGAGTTTGGAATTTGTTCTATGAGTTATGGGAACAATAGAGGACTTTGGGCAGGAACACATGATCCAGATTTTGTTTTATAAATATAGCCAAGGTGGAGAGAAGGGATGAGAGATGTGGACAGGCAAAAGGGAAAAGAAACCTAATAGCGAAGTTATTGCTTAGCTGGGATGAGACACTAGTGATTGAGCTGGAGTGGAAAGGTAGAGAAGTAGAAAGAACTAGCTGTGTTCAGGGTGCACTTTGAGGGTGGGATTGAAGTGATATTTGCCTTTTTTTTTTTTTTTTTTTTTTTGGTCCAGGAACTGAAGTCTTGACCTCACACTTGCCAGCCAGGTACTATGCTGCTGAACTATATCTCTCACCCTTAATGCCATTTTTGAAAGAAAGTAAAATCTAGAGTAACTCTGAGGTCCAGTTGCAAAATCTTTGCTTTGATTTTTCTAATTTAGCTGTAAAACAGCCATGTTAGCTTGCCTATTGCAACTACAGTTAACTTCGGGGAGCAATCAGACTGGTTTGATGTCTATGATCAAAACTTCTTTGCTCTGATATTCAAGCAGCAACCCTTTTGAAGAGCGGCAGGAAGAGCTAT